TAATTCTAACTATAGATTTCTTAATTCGCTTCATTTGTCTATTCTGTTCGATGTTATACGTACGCGACCGATGAGAGTATACGAAAGGAATTCCTCTGGCAGTGTTTGTCTTCTGACTTGCCTGTTCCAATACATTCTGCCCTGCACACTCAGACACGATCAACGAAAATGGTGCACTTTACTCGTGCCTCAATCGCGGTCGTATACTGAGAGCGCACCGTTGTACCACCTACTCGACTCCTTCCAACAGGCCTACTCTCCTAATATCTCTCGTAATAACGCCCTTAACAGTCCGAATTTCAACCTGTCGTACTCGGTGATCTGCACCAGCTGTAGTGTTCACAACCACTCCTCTGAACCAGGAGTTCCTCGGGACCTGGCGATCGATGATCACGACGAAGTCGCCCTTCTGTAGATTACGTCTATTCTTCAACCATCTTTGACGCATCTGTAGAAGAGGAACGTATTCGGATAACCAACGACGCCAGAAAGTATCGGCTATTAAGATTCCTTGTCTCCAGTGTCTTGTGTACCTTTCTCTAGGGTCGATAGTCGTGCCAAACAGGTTAGGATGGTTTGGTGTTAGCACCTCGATGTTGTCGATGTCATCTGTCACGAGTGTTATCGGTCTACTGTTCAAAGTTCTTTCTACTTTCGTCAAGTATGTGGTCAACGATTCATCCGTAAGAACTTGTTCACGAGAAAAGACACTCAGAATTCTGTGGATTGAGCGAATCGTTCGTTCCCATAATCCTCCGCGACGACTAGCGTTTGGCGGGTTGAAATGCCACTCTATTNCATTTCATTGTTTAGACGATCACTATGTAACACCTCACCAAGATTTCTCAAATCAAATTCCGCACCAGTGAAGTTCGTTCCTTGATCACTGAAATCCTGTTTCGGATACCCCTTCCGGTTAACGAACCGCGTGGACGCCATCAGAAACGAGTCGATTGAAAGAGCATGCGCCACCTCGAGGTGGAAGTCCCGGATTTTCAGACATGTGAATATACATCCATAGCGTTTGACGTGGGTTCGAGCTTGTTTCACGAAGAACGGACCGAAGAAGTCGACTCCGATGCAAGAGAATGGTGTGCCCGGTTCTACGCTGGCTTGCGGAAG